ACCTTTTAGCTATTAAGAGTAAGCTATAAAGTTCTAGGTTCTATAGCTTTATAGAAAAAAGAAAATAAGAATAAATAGTACTAATTTTATATATTCTATAAGCTTTAGTAGTAGTAAAGTATATAGGCTAGTATATAGAAAAGTAGATCTAGGTTAAGAAAGTAGTAGCTAGAAGCTTAATACTAGAGTTATAATACTACGTTAGCTAAGAAGAAAGCTAAAAGCTCTAGTAAAACTAAGTTCTAAGAACTAATACCTAAGGTATGTACCTAGCCTAAGGTATATACCTAGTCTAAGGCATCTACTTAGTAGCTATACTTAGTTAGTTAAGTAAAACTCTAGCCTAAGATATATATACTTATAATATAAGTATACCTCTATTAAAGTAAAACTATATTTTTAACTATAGTACTATAAATAGGTAGAACTTTTTAATTAAAAAGATTTTCTATAGTCTATCTTTTCTTTATACTTATACTCTCTTCTTTAAATATTCTATAAACTCTATAATTAACTCTCTAAGATTCTTAATATATCTCTTATTACTACTAACTACGTTATAGAAAATAAGCGCCTATACTATAAACTATTACTAATATCTACTAATATTAAGGCTAACATAGCTATATACTAGTATATCTATAATAAAATAGAGTAGCATCTAAAGAAGCTTATAGATATCTATATAGGTATCTATACATTATAAGTATAGACTTATATTTATTCTCTCTACCTAAGTAATAGGCTTATTAAGAATAAGCTTATTTACTAGTTTTATAATAATAATAAGTTTATTATAGGCGCTCTTATACTAGATAGTATCTATATATTAGCTAGTACTAAAATAAATAAGAAAAGATAATATATTACTCTTAAGTAAAATAAGTATTTTAAGAATTTAGCTAAGGCTTTAGGTAGTAGGTCTACTATATATCTCTCTAATAAGTAGCTAGTCTACGTTAATAAGGTTATAAATAAAGACTTTAATAGATAGATCTAACTAGTTTTAAACTTTATTACCTACCTATAATAAATAGTAGTAATCTATACGTATATAATATAATATAATAGAGTAGTAGATAATATAATAACTTTAGTAGTATAGATAGCGCTAGCTTTTTTAATAAGCTTATAATAGAATATAACTAGTGTAGATAAGTATAGAAGGCTTTAAGACTAGTATAACGTATTAAAATAAAAGGCTCTTTACTAGGTACTATAGAGATATTACTACTACTACTAATTCTAGAATCTTTTTAAGCCTTTAGGTAATAGTAACTATAATAGAGGTAGTAGTAGCAGCGCTTAATAGACTAAATATAGTATAGTAGTAACTACTACTACTAGGTTATTATAACCTCTAGGTAGTATTAGTAGTAATAAAAAGTTAATATAGCGTTATTTATTATAAATATATAAGAAAAAGAAGTATAGGTAGATAGTAAGAGGCGTTTAAGTCTATTAGGCTTAGTTTTAATAGCTTAAAAGTTTATTTATTTATTATTTATAATATAGTATAATATTATAAGATATAACGTAGTAGGCCTTATCTCTAAGGCCTAGAGAGAATATCTTACTACTATAGTAGAACTATACTAATCTTTAGAGCGCTAAAAAAGCTATCTAGAACTTCTATAATACTTATCTTTATAAACTACTACTATATAAACTATATAAAGACCTTACTTTATATCTTAGTACTATTTTTATATATACTTTTAATAGCTACACTAATAGCTTTAATAATAAAGGTATAGTAAAAAACTTTATTACTTAGCTAGCTAATTTATTAGAAAAGGCTAGTTATAGCACTAGTTTAGAAAGTAAGCTTTATAGTTATTTAGTTAACTTAAAGTAGCTAAATAAGGTAAGACGTAGCTATAGTGTTATTAACTACCTATAAGTTCTTTATTCTTTATTACTACTACGCCTTTTACTCTAAAACAAAGTCTACTTCTATTATAGCTTACTCTAACTCTAACTCTAACCTAGACTCTAACTCTAGTCTTAGCTCTAGGCTTAGTTATGTTTTAGTTCTAACTCTAACGTTACTATAACTATAGTAGACACTTAGTATCTTATAAAAAATATAATACTTTATAGAATATTAGAAGATAGCGCTTTACTATAATAGTAAGCCTAGTATATAAAAGAATAATATTATCTTTATAAAGAAGCTATGTTAGATAGTTATAATAATTACTAGTATAACTATCTTAGAAAAGAGAGGTAATATTATAGTTCTAACTAGTTTCTATTCTATTACGTTATTACATAACTAGCTTAGCCTAATTAGACTAAGCTATCTACTAGCTTTCTATATATAAAGATTTTATACCTTTATATTTTATATAATAGCTTATATTCTATTAAATATATTTATTATTATTTATATCTTTTATAAGTATTAGTGCTAATAGTAATATACACTAAATATCTTAAAATCTTAAAATCTTCTAGCTATTCTAAGATAGCCTAGAAGCTAGACGTCTTTTAATATCTTTTTACTAAATAGAGTCTACAAAATTAGGTATAAGGCACTAGTATATAGTGTATAAAAAAATTACTACTAAAATAAGTATAAATATTAAATTTAATAAAATTAAAATAAGTTTAATTAATAAACTTAGTACTAAAGTACTAGCTAAAACGCGACTACGCGTAATACATGTAGGTTATCTCTAATTTAGCAGTTAACGTTGAGTGAGCCAAGATTAACATCTCGAGGAAGCCAATCCAGTCACATTCACCCATCACATATTGCCTTTCACTTTCACTTTCTTTGAGCTATCCTGTCCAAGGATCAATAAGCCCGTTTGGTGACAAGGTCCACAATGGCCAGCTCGACAATAGAACAAAGAGAAAGGCTACCCATTGTCGCCCGTGCAAACATAGTTCAAAAGAGATGGAAGAACTATCGACGCGCGGGAAGTCATCACATCCAAAAAAAATCTTCATGAGACTATCGCAATCTCGCATCAATTCCTACATCATCTACCGTTATCGACTGCATTAGATCAACATGCCTCCGATTACGCGGCGCCAAGCAGCCACCGCCCCTATACATCTCCCTCCCGCACCTCCTCCCCGAAGCCATCGGTCTCGCTTGCCACGTGGAAGGAACCCTCGCAGACCTGCGATTACGAATGCAATTAGCAAAAGATGGCCAGAAGGCCGTCCCGACAAGCAGCCCCGCGGCATTGGCAATTCGGGAAACTCTTGCTACATGAATAGCGCTTTGCAAAACCTCGTCCATCTTCCAAAGTTCTGCAGCTGGATAAAGCAGCATAACGATGCAGCTCTGGGCGCGGATTGGACTTGTCGCGCAAACGATCCGAATCGCCATCTACCGGTGAATCAAACGGAGGACCAAGTGCTCCTTAAGATGGGCGAAAGCATTAAGCAATGCGTAGCCTGCTTGGTAAAGGCTTTTGTCTTGGACTACTGGTCGAATGCTCGGGAAAATGGAAACAATCCTTCTATGAATTTTCCCCACACACGTCCTAGCGTCAAAGCGTTGAACGCCATGGCTAGACGCTGGTCCACTGAGCCCCCCAGCTCCTCTGGACTCACTAAAGCGCAGGGAGAATCAGAGATTGCTTTCATGAATCGAAGGCTTAACAACGAGTCCCGCAATGACCGCATTACGCGCAAGAGAAACGCTGCTGGCCAGCAAGATTCTGATGAGTTCTTGATGAGGCTGCTAAATGCGTGTAAAGACAGTATTGATCCTGGGTAAGTACTCTCTTCTATTCACCCGTGTGCAAATCACTGACTCTCTCAACAGTAATCACCAACGACTGGACGAGTTCAACTACCTCTTCACTCTGACACGGCATGAAGAAATGCGGTGTACACATGGCAGTTGTACACACCTCCACTCCATCGACGACTACAACATCACCAAAGACCTTGGTTTCTCAAATGTCATGATCGCAAAGAATAGCCATAATCATCCTGATCTGCAAACTGCCCTGGTAAATTCGACATGGCTGGACGTTGAAGATATGCCGGTAACATGCGGAGCCTGCAATCATACGAGAGATGTCAAGAAGTTCAAGTCGATCGAAGCCGCGCCCGAGTATCTTCGGATTAACCTGGAACTGAATACTTTTGACAAAAATGGAGACCAAGTATTCGACAAGGATGACCAAAGCCTGCCGATCAAGAATACGCACCCCATCATCATACCCAATGAGCTCGATCTCACTGCGCACGTTAGTCCTCCGTCTTCACAGCTCCGGTACAAGCTCATTGGCAAGATCATTCACTCCGGTAATCTCACACGAGCGGGTCATTATACCGCATGCGTGACAACCTGTCCTCGAAAAGGCAGACAGAAGAAGGACAGTCCACCACCAATAAAACACTACTTTATCAATGACGATAACCATCTCTTCCCTTTTCCAGGGACCGACATACACCCGCTCACTCATAATCCAGAGACCCAAGGTGGCACCGATTTTGAGGCCTCGACTCTGATATACGAAAGATTGCCCAACAGACCAGGGCCAGTTGCTGAGCTGTATGAGCCACCTGGAAGAACTGGCGTTGTCGGGGTCGTATGGAGGAAGGGGAAGAAGGAAGGGGATCAGGGTGAGAAGAGAAAGAGTGATGAGATAGAAGATGAGAAAGTCGAGGAGAAAAACACTAAGGAGACAGATGAAAGTAAGGGCAAGAAGGAGGCATCTGATGTGCAAAGTCAGGAGCAGAAACCGAAGAAACGGTCAAAGACTTCCGAATCTACTGATCAAAGCTCTTGGGATACCCTCCGTCAGGCTTACAAGATGACAAAGATCCCCGGACCTCTGGACCAGCGCACTTGGACTGCCTATAGTCAGCTTGGTGGTTTGTCGAAGACCCACTCCTAGGCTTTTGGATAAGCTCGCGTAGTCCGTAACTATATTTTTATTGATTTGACTACGTTCATCCACCTCTCTTGTCGTTGCCTCGTTACGCTGAAATGAACCGGAAGGACCCAGATTCGCACCATGTATCCTCTACGCCTCATTTTCCCTCCTAACATCCGATACCGACAGCTCAACAGTAACATCCTGCACAGGATCGAAGATACTACTAATCTGCTCCAGCGACAGGCCCTTCGTTTCCGGCACATAGAAGAAGATGAAGTTGATAACCGCGACCAAGACACCAATATAGACCAAGTAGTATTTCCAAGCAATCTTGTCAATCGCCACGGGGTTCACGAATTGGTTAAAAGTGATAGACACGGCTTGCGATACCCAAAATACGCTTGTGCCTTTCGTGCGGAGATGACTAGGCCAGATCTCGTTGACGTAGAGGATTGGTATGGGTGTCAGGCCAATGACGTAGCCACCGAAGAAGAGGAAGAGGAATACAATGACGGCGTAGCCTGCAGATGCGGAGCCGGTGGCTGAGTAGAGGGCTGAGCAGATGGTTATCAGGACCATGAAGACCAACATTAGGCTCGTGGAAGTTAAGAAGAGGCGGCGTCGACCCGCCTTTTCGCATAACAGTGCGGCTGCACAGGCCAAGAGCCAGACGTAGACTTGAAGCCCGCCGTTGATGCCTTGTTGGTGGAGGGAGTTTGTGATTCCGACCGTTCGCAGGACCGGCGCCAAGTAGAAGCTGATGATTCCGTTTCCGACCCATTGCGTAGCTACGGCGATGACCACAGATAGGACGAGGCGTTTGCGGTTGCCCGGTGTCGCAAGCAAGGCCAGCCAGCCAGTAGTGTTGTTCTGAGCCTCAGCCGCCGTCGATGCGCACATGCGCGCGAACTCGGAAGATACTAGCTCATCACCAGCGAGCCCATTGGCATGGTATCGTATCATGATAGACTTGGCCTTCTCTTGTTGTCCGTGTCGTACAAGCCACCTAGGCGACTCGGGACAGAACATGATCAAGCTCAGCTGCGCCAGGGACCAAAACAGCTGGATGGCTACCGGTAGTTTCCATGACCACGAACCCGGTATTCTCAAAGCTCCGTAAGAGGCCCAAGCCGCGGTGATGGAGCCGATGAAGTAGCATGTGTTGAAGAGCGCACCTGCAACGGCCCTCTGGCGTGGATGTGCAAGCTCGACGAGTAGAGCGGAGGAGGAAATCGTGTTTGAAATACTAGAAAAGCCGACGAGTATACGCATGCCGAGAAATTGATCGAATCTCGTACAGAAGATCTGCCCTGTAAAGCCGGCTATCATCCCGATGTTTCCAAAGATGATTCCTACGCGGCGACCGTACTTGTCTGACAGCCATGGTGCTGGAAAGAAAGCGGCGATGCATCCCATGGACTGGGCAGCGGTGACTAGTCCGAGCAGCTTCGGATGGGAAAGCCCTTGTATGTCTTGGAAGTATCTGGGGTTGGCAATGAGGTTGGAGATGAGGGAGCTGATGTAGCCATTCGTTATGGCGCCTATGTAGCTTGAAAGGAGCAAGAAGTTGAGTTTCTTCATGCCCGGATCTTTCCACCATTTCGGATGCGTGTTGTTGGCCAAGGTATCCATCTTGAGGTACGCAGTCGCGATGTTCGTCTCAGTTGGAGTTGACTGCCAGTCGTACTGTTACAAGCATATATAGTTCCACACGGACAGAGTTCGGCACCTAGAAGGATATCTTAACCGGCGGATGTAAGACTTCTTTGACGTTTTCGTATCTGAGTGTCGGTGAAGTCTTAGGAATGATGATCGTCATGTTCCCGGTGCCGCGGTGTAACGTCGTAAGGTCAGGTGCTCACGATCCTAGAATTTACCATGACTCGTAGCGTCATGTACAACCAGCCATTCCCATGTGGCAGGAATCCCTTACCGCGGCGCGGTGATACTCTCCTGGAGGTTGGAGATATCGCCACTTCCGCCATGACTTCCTATTCGTCAAAACCCGCTAGGCAGGACCATCGGGCCAATCAGGACGATCCCGAACCCCCACTCGGGGAATCGGGATACCACAGTACGAACTTAGGAGCCTTCCAAAAGTGAGCTAGAATGCGTGGATTTCATGTCAGTACACCGACTGTCTGGCACACGTTAACATGCTTTCACTCACCCTGGACCCCGACCAACCAGCGTTGGGCTGAGGGGGATGTCTTTGCGGCAACGAGTCCCATTCGTCGCTGTTGCGTTCTTTCGTAGCTTCGGAGGATTAATGAAGTAAGCGTCCAGGAACCGTCTTTGAGTCCGCTTAGACTTGATGCGGTCAAGCAAAAGGTAATGATGCCTACAGCTCTTCCAGTGGCCGCGTAGACAAAAACCGAGAGAAGAGCTGTATCCGCCCAAGTGTGTCGCCAATAGAGTCACCCACTCCCGGTGCCTTAGCGAACTGACTGTCGGAACTGGTTCTTATCGTACAACTGATTATCCAAGATACTTTTTGGCCTGCCCGCCACTCTCATGGCGGAGTCTTTCTCACTCATATCAGGTCCCATGCGATACTGCCCAGATGGGCCATCTTTAGAACGTCGAAGTACAGGCGGCACTTCTCATCAGAATCAGCTTCGTGGAGTGCAGCGTCCATGAGCGTCGTCCAGGCACTGATAAGGATGTCTTTGTTGCGACGGAGAAAGCATGTAACCTAACCATTGGTCAGTTCTTCGGGAACGATTGGAAGTGCAAGATGAGGGCGGACTTGTGGTGGAGAGAGAATAGAGGTTTGCACAGACGCGGTGCCTGAACAGGATCAGGTCAAACCGCTAGATAGGCAAGCGAGCCGTCTACGGTTTATGACCATCAATCTCCAATCATACCAGATTTGAATAGCCTAAAGTAACAAGAAAGTGGACATCAGATAAAATTTTCAGTGGAGTCGTTTCGTATATCAATGGTGAAGTTTGTCAGCCATCGAGTTTATAATCAGGCCGAAGTTCGACCGATCACCTTGATAGATGAGCTGTACAGAGAGGAAATAAATGCTTAAATACGTAGCATTCAGGTACAAGCTTCTTCTCAAAGCTTAGCTAATTCACCCAATTCTGTCTTCATTCCTCTACAATCTCCATTCAAACCCCAGCAATTGCACCCGTCTTCACAGCTCAAACCACCACCATATCTACGGCACCATGTCCGCCCTTCTCGCCAACAAACCCCTCCTCGGCCCACTCGTCGGGCTCAACATCTGGACCTTTGCCATGGAAGCTCTTCTCTACAAACGAAGAATCCCAGCCCTCTCCCAATACGACATCAGCTTCGACCCGGCAACCGTCAAGAAGCAAAAAGACGAAAAGCTACCGGCCTTCGTCAAGTGGCCTGCGGACAACTTCAACAACTTACTCGAACAACCCACTCAGTTCTACGCCGTGTTGCTGGGACTGAGCCTTTTGGATGTAAAGGACAAGAGGACCGTTGGTTTGGCGTGGGCTTATGTCGGGCTGAGATTTGTACACAGCGTTATTCATGTTTCGACGAACAACGTCTCCCTGCGCTTTCCAGTCTTTGCTGCGAGTTCGGTTGCGCTTCTGGGACTCACGGCCGAGGCGGCATGGAAGCTTATCTTCTAGGAGATTTGGCTGTGGTGGTGATATTCGTGTCGGAAGGAAGATTCAAACAGATGTGGGTATTTGGAACAGGCCTAGCTGCAAGTGAAAAGATGAACTCGACTTTTGGCAACTGTACATCAGAAAAAGCATATTCGAGAGGACTTTCAGCATATTTCCATGAAGCCTGTGACATTTCTTACAGCTTTCGCATCGCCAGAGCGAGTTTGATTAGTATTGCACAGAGAACAAGATGGTTACTCTTTGCATGCTGCGCCGTACATCCTATCTCCCGCAGCCTCTGGGATGAGCTGTCACTTGATCTTTACGCCTGTTGACAAGCTGGGTACGACCAGACAGAAGATGATGACTATCGAGCATGTCTTATGGATGGCGTATCGAGGAGGTGCCTGCCCTCTGTGTAGTGAGACAGCTCTTATTGAACCAACTTTCCTCCTCTTGTCCATTGCGTAGTGGGGTATCGTAGTATTCGTCCTTGGTGGAAGTGCACCGCATGCAACTTCGTATGTCTTGCGTTTGCATCTCCCTATGACCTTCTCGTCCCACATCTTTCTATTCCATCTTGTCTCTTCGAACTCAAGCCTTCTTCTCCGCTTCGTTCCCCTGCCATGCCAGATTCCATCTCCTCTTCAGCACGTCTATGCTCTCCTGTGAGCTCCGACCCTTCTCTTTCTCCTCGCGATTTATCCGTGTGAAGGCAGCAGCGAGACCGATGGATATGGCGAAAAGAGGGTCGAGACTTCTGCGCGACTTGTTAGTCTCCAAGTCCAAGGTCGACGAGAGGGGAAGGCTCACTTCGATATGATGTACTGGGCCGCCATAACTGCGGGGTCTCAGAATAGTCTTCCGGAAGTGATCCGATTGCGAACAAGTAATGGGTTGTTCAGGCAACTGCGATGGTTCTGCAGGTACAAGTTGGCAAGGACAGAAATTCACGTCAGTCTCGATCAACTTCTCAGATGGCGTTCATCAAAGATCCACTGCACCTGCATTTACTGTGGTCCGTGCCTGCCGCCAGCTGGAGCTTCCCCACGCCCGCGGTCGCGCCATGCGGACTACTTGGGCAAGCACGCGTCAAAAGCCGCTTGGAAAGCATGTCATTGTTTCAGAAGGTGCTAGAACAGTTCACGTCGCTTTGATTATCCATGTTGTGCATCCAGTCTGCATGCTGCTGGTTGTATGGAGGCGATTAGGCGTCTGGTGAGGCGGGTGATGGCGTCATGGGTTTCAGCCCGGAGGAGCCGCAAGTCACGCTACCTTGTCAGGTACAGATAGCGCTTCACGGGATACATGCGAGACGTCACAGATAGGGTCATGTGAAGATAGTCGTCGTGGATTAAGTCTGGTGCATTTGGGCTGAAATGTGATGATCAAGCTACAGGTACAGCGCAAAAGAGAAAGCCAATCTGTCCGACCGCCACTCGTCATGTCCGTGGAGCTCCATCTCCAGCGGAATGCATTCTTGCTGTATTGTGCTTGATCCGCCTCATTCTCAGATGATGTTTGCCTAGTGCTGAGTGCCGAGGAGTCTGCCGTCGCACCAAATCGCTGATCAAGAATACCGATCCATCACCCAGCCCGTGTAGTGTTGCCATGAAATAATGAAGAAACCCGTGATCCGATAACGCCTGTGAGTTCGCCGCGGCCTTGATAACCGATAGATAAGGGGATGCGGGATGGAGTGAGCTCCCTAGATAGCCTCGCCGAATGTGTTCTCGCCGGAGTACCTATAAGGTTGTTAGCAGCTGCATCGCGTTGCGCGGCGAAGGGATTACGTACGTAATGTACAGGAAGCCATCCTCATCCTTGTGCTCCTCATATATCGAGCTCATGAGAGCGGCGGTAGGCGGCAGAACCTCATCAACGAAGATGAAGATGGCCTTCTCAGGTGACAGCTTGATGCGCTTACGGATCACGTAGACGAACTGTCCGACGGTCAGGTCGGCGGGTACCAGGTACTTCTTCTTGTCGATGGTCGCGATGTCCGACTTCTCGACCTTCTCGCAGATGACCTGCGCCTTGTTAGCTGCTGTCGTAGTGAGGGAGATGAACAGGCAGGAGGCAAACGTACGGGAATGCGGTCGTTGTACTTCTGGCGAATGCGCTCCGCCTCGGCCTTGCGCTTCTCGAACGGGTGCTCGTCCTTGAACTTGGAACGCATCTTGGATATGTGTAAGAGTGATGGGTAGTGTATGTGAGTGTGTAGAGTGAGCAGGCGGGAGTTTTGTCAGTGGTGCGGGTGGAGATGTAGGACGCTGAGGGTGCGGGCGGTGTGGGAGTTTAAGGGCAGGCAGCAGAGCGGGGCGAATCACTTCCAGCCTTACCTAACCAACGCCCAAGTCAGTCACCATCCATGCACATGCCCTATGCAACAGACGACCAACGCTTCACGCGCCAGCCAAGTGCTCTCTGGAAATCAGAGACAGTGCAATCAGCCCTCTTTCGTCATGCGAATGCAGCCCTTTTCACCCGTGAAGAGCGACTTGGTCCTCGTCTATGGCTGTGCTGACCGCTTCGCCCACCAAGTCACTTGCTAAGCTCCCATGACCTGGGTCTCCCGGACGCATTCAAGGTTGAGTCATCCATCGACTTGAGCACCGCCACTGTAGCCATGCGCCGTGACGCTATCTTGAACTTGACGTAGGCTGCATCATTCCATCGTTCGAAGTCGACGCGTTGGACACGCGCGTTGGCAGGCATGTAGCGCGTCCGACCACCTTACCGCTCATAGCAACGTAGCTATCTCTTCAGACGCCTTCTATGACCGCGCGAACGAGTACTTCCCATGCACCGTGAGATGCCCGTCATGATACTGGGTAGCAGTGCGCACCCTACCTAGCGAGTACCGCCAACGAACCCTCGCTACCGCATGCTGCGCGTCTACAGATAGGTGCACGGGTGTCTCTAAGCACTCAACCCGTCAAGAGCCGAAACTAATACAACTCAAAGTAAGCGCTTTCGCGCGTCCTCACTTTCGTTGTCTGTAATGGCAAGTTTGCCGCATTTGCATGATGCAGG